AAAATTCACTTTATTCGAATAGCCCATTTATTCAATAATTTCCACATGTTCAAACTAAAATTAATTCATGTATCATACAATAAAATAAAAAAGAAGAATGTTTCTCATGTGATATGAAGAAAAAAATATAAACAAAATAATTATGATTAATTTATATGTTACACTAATGGAAAAAAAGAAGGAATCAGAATCCTTCATCAATTCTCTTTCTACAGACATGATGAAAGACTATGAATCTATCAGAGTTGAAAATAGAAACTATGATTTTGAATTGGAGACTATGAGGTTCCAGAATTTAGATGGAAGCACACTTATGGTAAAATACTACACCAAGACAAATATGATGTCATATGTTATAGTACATACTAAATGCCAAAATATTTGGCTAATTATAATTATAACATTCAGTATTTATCGATGAAACTAACAATTCGCTAAGTCAGAAGGGGTTTTGTGGAGATTTCAGTATTTTTTTGGTACTTTTTTAGTATTTTTCTTAATTGAAATCATCAGTCAATTGAAGCTAGACCACCATGAAAAACCTGCAAGCATTGGACAGCCGTTTCATCCTATTGTGGGACTTCTTAGCAGTGCGCATCCACGACCTCGCCTCGCAAGATTCGAACCCAGGATTTACCAGTCTCGTGCCAGAGCACTTAACCAATAGACCATTGAGCCAGCATCCAACGGTGTTAATGTCTAACTTCAACCATGATTTCAACTAAGAAAAATTAGTCAAGTATTCATCAACGTCAAGAAGGTTATTTTATCAATAAAATAGGTGCAACTATGAATACCTTTTTTTACTTGTGTGTAATAATCAATAATCGTTTTGATTTTATAATGGGTAAAACTGACTTTCGATTTGTGTCTGTTGGTTGAAATCTATTTTCCGATATACTGAAGTTCACTTATGAAAACGCTTGTTAATTTCCCCTAATTGGTTAGACAACAAAAAGAACTTGACTTGAAAAAATAATTTTCTCGATTTTTGTTTAACGCATTCGCCCTGCACATTATCAATGTTAATTAACTATAAAGCTGTTATTAAGATGTACCATATCCATCATAGTTATGATTTAATGCTATTGATTATTTATGGTGCATCATAATAATGTCTTTCTGCATATAATCCTATTGTAAAAAATAACACAAGGTGCTTAAGTGACTTTCTGCTAACCTGACTGATAGATTTAGGAAAGAGAGAAAATTACATGATCGATCGATCGTTAGTATAATCTGAAAACTGTGTTACCGGACTCTATGTCAGTGCTTATGGAAAAATTCATGACATTTTTATTACTAAAGTACCATATCTCCCTTCGATAATTTCAAAATTGTTTCACTTTTAAAAGTTTGTTTACATTGTAGTGAACAAAACACCAATCGGGGACAATCAAATGTATTTAAGCACAAATTATAGACTATCTCACTAAATTCTGATAACCATACAATGAACCGTTAATTTGCAAAATAACCATCAATTGTCTCAATCTTCACTGTTCTTTCTATAAGTATCAGTTCATCTTTAATTTCATTGTTCATTCATTTTCCTACCAATCGGGCTTCATTTCCGTTCTTTCCTTATCGGTCTTCTGCCAAAATACATTCTGTGTATGACCATCACCATATACTACTTATATAGATATAAGTAGACCACACGACAACATATCTTTAAATGATCACTAGCTTTATACGATAACCCACTTCAGGTCATATACAGCCTTCAGGCCTTAGTTTTAGTACCTCTATTCTAAACAAAACTAACTTTGATAGCAAATCTTGTAAATTCTTCAATGTTAGACTGATATTATTAATTGATGCACCAACTCTTAACTAATTAACAAAGTAATGAAACTAATTACAAACAAATTAGAAAGTAGTGAAATTCTTTACATCATTATTTACTTCTTAATACAATGATAGAATGTTACGTGTTTTCAACAAGTCTAGTTTTAAAGCTACATAATTCAGACTAAAATCAATCTATATAATATTTCATTGAAAACGGATGTCTTCTGATGTCCTGATCATGCTAGTCACCGAGTTTATCAAATAATCTCCACAAAACCCCTTCTGGTATTTCTAATAAGTCTGGTTGATAACTGGCAACCAGTATGAAATCTTGGTTCATGTGTTCTGGCAGATTACTTATCTATCAGTTATCAGCCAAGCTTAACGTAGAACTTGAGATATTAGTGAATAGGTTCAAGCTGCCACATCATATCAGCATAACTGGATTCCAAAGTGGTATAAATAATGACAGTATCAGTGATAATAGAAAAGATTATCCAATGAAGGTATGACAAGAGAAGATAATGTGGATTTGTGGGATAAACAAGACAGCTAAGATAAATTACAAACTTAGGAACTAAAGGAAGACAAACAGTAAAAGCACTTACGCCGCTGAAAACGATTTTGAGTCACGTCACCCAACGTGTTTAAACAAGTAGTCTTCACATGCAAACACAGCTCCGTACAACAGTCAATGACTTCACGAACTGATATTATCTCTTGGTTTCGACACCCCTAGCTTTCCTCCAACCTGCCTTTATACCATTCAGCATCATCCATTAAGGTCAGTTATACATAATAGATATTCCAAACATTTCAGTCGATAAATATCAACAACCTAACTAGTTGGTTTGCCGTCTTTATCTAATTCCCTGCATATAAATTCCTTGGCGATCTCTATATACACATGCGATGCTCTGATGTCACCTATGATCAAATACCAGTTACCCAAGAATGTCTTCCGATCTCAAAAGTTATGTCTCGCATTCATAAATTAAAAAGACAAAACTGATACGCAATTTACTTGTTTCTTCGTTAGAAAACAGACATATCGCCTACGCCACAAAAGATGTAAGTTGGTGAAAGCCAACCAGGTTTTCTGAATTCGTGCCAAGATTTCGTCCGAAACCAAAGCACCGTAGCTGATGGAATTTCAGAGACAAATAAAGTGTTCGGCTTACTCTACAACTTCACTCCTCATCATTAGCGTTGCTGCAGATTGATTACCCCTGACCGCTTAATAATTCAACTTTCCCAGTCACTTAGGCTGGTGATAAAATTGCAACTTCATTCTCAGTACTCGACCAGAAATAGGTACTACAAATTTGAAGACACTTATCAGTATAACTTGTCACTTTATTGGTATACTTAATACTTCTTTCGAGTATTTCAATTATTTCTACTTAAATTTCATCTGTGCAATACTCAAATAAACTCCATTTATAAATCCTATATTTCCTCAAGTTACGTAAACGTAAATATTTTTAATGTTTGTAACACTGATACTCCCTAGACATAGGGGAAAGTATCCAGGATTAAGAAACCAGTCTGCTTAGGATTTTCAATTTCACTAAAAGTATCTATCATCTGAAGTCAAAAATGGTAATCATATTTAAGTATGAAAGTACATAATTACCCACCATAACCTTATCAAAACAAAATCAAACTAGTCATTATCAGTTTGCTAATTAATACGAGTCTCTATCATATAAATGATGGAGATTATTTAAGCAAACCTTTAAAGAAGAACAGTGATGATTAAATCTTACCAGATTATTTAATCTAGACTCTGAAATAAACAAAATCAATATTACAACCCATTATGTAATCGAATAAGTACCATATAAATCTGAGTCCATACTCATAACTGAATGATTTTTGACTGTCTATTTTAAACCATAATTTGTAGAATCAAATCTACATCAAATATATTACTGCATAGTAGTTATCTTATAAATTATACACACAAAATTACTTCCCCCTCCCACGAAATTTGTGAGTTAAACAAATCGAGAGTATGAAAAGTTTCATTAATTATATAGATTAATTCATACCAATCGATTTTGTAATATATCTGCTTAGTAATTAAACTCCGCCTGTAGCTCCTTTAGGGGCTCCTGCCAGTCCCAAACCCGGATAAAGGAGGAGGGTTGGGCATGGGGTTAGCAACCCCATCCCGTAGAAAACCAACTCGCTAAAAAAACGCTAACCAGGAAAAATTATTCAAACCACTTAAACTCTGCCCTGGGAGATAAAGGAAGAATTATGACGTCTCATGATGAAATCCGAGTTACTTCTAAAGTCATGAGACCGGTGCACCTTCTAACAACCAGAGCAACAGTTTTTATGGGTACATCTAGAACTTAAAACAATTGTCAACCCATGCCAAGATCAGAATTTTCAATACAAATGTCGAAACAGTTCTACTGTATGGGGCGGAAACTCGGAGAACTATGAAAGTCATCATCCAAAAAATGCCAGTGTTTATTAACAGTTGTCTACGCAAAAAACTTCGGATCCGTTAACAAGACACTATCAGCAACATTCTACTGTGGGAGACAACAAATCAAATTCCAGTGGAGGAGGAAATCATGAAGAAGCGCTAGAAGTGGATAGGACACACATTGAGGAAATCACCCAACTGTGTCACAAGACAAGCCCTCACATAGAATCCTGAAGGTCAAAGGAGAAGAGGAAGACCAAAAATCAATATGCCGAGAAATGGAAACAGATATGAGAAAAATGAACAAAAATAGGATAGAACTAGAAAGGAAAATGTCCAGGACAGAATGGGTTTGAGAATGCTGGTCAGCGGCCTATGCTCCATTGAGAGTAACAGGCGTAAGTAATTAAGTTAGTTAGTTATAGTTCGTTTAGACGACTGGGTCGAAATCTGTCGGTCAATATTTTTGTTTATATACTCTTTTTAACTTCATATATTGTTCAACCATATATATATATATATATATATATATATATATATATATATATAATTCTCATTATTAAGCTATGGTTATATATACATATACATACATTTAATTGAAATAGGTGTAATTACCAAGACGATAAGTTGAACATTGATACTTTTACAAGTGTTATTACTTTGATATGTATGTAGTAACCATTTCAACCAACAGCAAAAAATCAATAAAGCACAAAAGTATAACAATCACACTTCATAAGTTTACTTATTATAACATAAAGTGATGTTCAATTTATATGTATATCATTCTTTATTTCTCATTGTTTTAATCATTACTTTATTAAATGTTTCAATGAAATCTATATTGAACATTAAACCTAAAACTGAATTTATTAAAACAAAAAAAGATTTAATAAAAACTTTATCAAAATGGCCGACAACAATTCAAAGGAAATTAGAGTTACATAATAAAAATTCAAATTTTAATGATATAATTAAAGTATTTAATTTATGCGCCAAAAATAAAGATGCTATACCTATATTTATTGAAAATAGTGATTTTATATATAGTCAATCAACATATTGTTATAAACAAACGAATCTATGGATATTAATCACTGTACATACACATCCAAATCATCGTCAAAAAAGAGATTTAATTCGTGGAACATGGGGATCATTAAGACGTGTTAATAATCGTAAAATTGGTATTCTTTTTTTTATGGGTTTATCAAATGATTTAAAAGAACAAAAATTAATTGAAGAAGAAGAACGAATTTATGGGTTAGTTGATTACAAAAAAAGTACAGGCTTATCTTTGTTTTCTTGTTACTTAAACTAATCATATTTAGAAATTCATGAATGAATTCCATGATAGTGAGTAAGCGTTATTGGCAAATGTGAATGTATATGAAAGTTATATTCAGGATATTTATGATTTGGTCAAACCTTTCAAACTAGGTACTACGAATTGTAATGTTGAGTTATTTAACTTAATGACAATATGATTAACTTGAGACTAATAGAAATTCTTAATTAGTTAAGATTACATGTACTCTGAAAAATTATTCAGCGTAAATTATATTACGGCATAGTTACAATTTATTTAGTGATTTATCCTAACCATAATAATAATAACCAATCAGATAGATTATGCACGGGTAGTATTTGGTAAAAAAAAATTACCGTTTACCATTACTCTGGTCATGTGATATATGTGTATCTTTCATAGTTGAAATCATGAGTCAATTGAAGTTAGGCCATCATGGAAAACCTGGAAGCACTGGACGGCCGTTTCGTCCTATTATTGGACTCATAAGCAGTGCGCATCCACGATCCCGCCTCGCGAGATTCGAACCAAGGACCTACAAGTCTCGCACCAGAGCGCTTAACCATTATCTGTATCTGTACATTACAATCGATAATTCATTTCATTTTATCATCCTACCGATCAAAATAAACAGTCCAATTTGAAATGAAACTTATTTTGTCTAATTAAATAGTGTAAAATCGAAACACAGACATTATAAGCAATGATAGATAGCGGCTAGCAGTAAAATCCAGGACGCGCGTTTCGTCCTATTCAGGACTCGTCAGCTGGACGTACCTTCATCACAGAGTTAATGTTTAATCTGGGACTCGAACGCAGCAACTTTCGCTTCAAACACCATCGCGTTATCCACTCACCTACTGAGTCCTGATAGTCACTTGCTTGTGCAATGGAGTGAAGTTGAAATTCACTTAGTATTGTTTGTTTGAATCTTCCCATTGATGTTTATAGGACTGCAACTGGTCAGTATCTAGTTGACATATGTGCATACTGTGCGTATTGCCTCGATATAGCCTTAATTCACAAGCACCGTAAACAAAGAGACTTACCAGTTGCAGTCCTAAACATCAACGGAAAGATTCAAACAAACAATACTAAGCAAATTTAATTTTTAGTTATAAATAAATCAATATATTACCGAAAATATACGAAGTGTGGTTATTAAGTACTTTCATTAATTACCATTGCTAATGGATCATTCAAACATTAAATCAGTTTCATTATTTTAATCTATTCAACAAGATATCTAACTTTCAAAACGTTACTAATTTTTATTTCACATGCAGTTACTGTTAAAACTCAAAAATTATGAAATATTATTAATTACCTTTTTTCTTAATCTCTCCTTGTTTAATTCTGGACTATCATAGTAGTCCAACACTAAAGTCTTTTTACAGAACAGTAAATACAATCAAAATTATTAAAGAAACGAAGTTTTTTCATAGTTGAAATCATGAGTCAATTGAAGTTAGACCATCATGGAAAACCTGGAAGCACTGGACGGCCGTTTCGTCCTATTATGGGACTCATAAGCAGTGTGCATCCACGATCCCGCCTCTTGAGATTCGAATCCAGGAACGAAGTTTCTTCTTAGAAGTACTGAAAATACATCTTTACAAACATGAATATCATGAGTGAGTTGTAAGCTATTATAACACTAACCCTAACGTCAAAAGTGTCCTTGAAAGCCGACAACATAAATCATTAGTAAATAAATGGGATGTCAAATATTTATTCTATTTCCTAAAGATAAACAGTAGCTGGATGAAACAGTGATTACTTCATAATTATCGGTCAATTTTCTAAATTCATAAATATCGCTTAGTGATGAAGACTAAATTATGAACACGGCATCAATACGATCGTCGGTTGCTTTCTTATCTTTCCTTAATGCTTTAGCTTTATTCAGGTGCATATCCTTTCTCAACCTATTCTTTTTTTGATCATAGTGACATTGTTCAACGAGCATTTCTGGAAAATTACTACAATATGACGAGGAAACATATAACAATTATGGAGTGGATTAGTCAAGGTTACTGTAACAATGTGCCATTTCTAGTCAAAGTAGATGATGACACTTTTGTCGATATATTTCATTTGACACGCTACTTAGAATTGAAACATAACGACCTCAAGGGTTTATTCTACTGTACTGCTACAAGTAATATTCAAGTTATACGACCAAACAGTATTAAACATTCCAAGTGGGAAATAAGTGATAAAGAATATCCCGAAAAAATATTTCCAACATATTGTGAAGGCTTTGGATATATTATGGATATGAAACTGGCACCCTACTTATATTGGTGTTCAATGTTTCAACCACCTATATGGATAGATGATGTCTATGTAACAGGAATTTTAGCACAAAATCTAGGTATACCAAGGTTGCGATTTCAAGATGGACATAGTTATTTGAACTTGAAACCTGCAAAAGAAGAAGGTTTACTTGCAGACTGTATCTTTTTAGTATCATTTTACAATGAATTCTATCCACTTACAGTACAAGAGATGTGGCGTGAAGTAGTTGCACATAGTATGGAGATTGATTAAATTATATACATTGCCCTACTGACTAATCAATAATTTAAAGATAGTTACGTAATAATTTATATGCTTCTTTCAATCTACTTAATGTGAAATTAGATCAAACGTTCAGTTACTAATATTATTATACTGTTAAATATAATATTTGTTTCCATTTATTTTAAATTATATTGACTTATTTTACAAGACAAATATACATCTATACTGCGACAATCAAATACGTTCTTTTGATACTCATCATCTGGTATTGTGTGAATTATTTACAGTCTTCATACTTCTGTAGTTCAGAGTATACATTATCAAAACAAAAGCTTTACATTGAGATCATGAACCGGTTGACCGGTTAGACCACCATTCAAATCCTGGAAGCATTGGATGGCCATCAACCGGTTCATGGTCTCAATCGATAAGATACTAATCTCCACAATTCGATACTGAAAAGCTTTACAAATTAATAACCCTTATCTATTAAGTGAATTGTAATTACAACAAACTGGTACTAATGTAAAAGAGATATTTAAAAAATGACGATTTGTGAACACTTTCTTGTTTGAAATTAGTTTAAATCATTGACTGACGTTAACCTGAGAATCATTAAAAACTCTGAAGTATTAGATATATGTATCTAATACTAGTATAAAAGTCTTCAGCAATCTTCATTCACGAAATCACACTTTAGTGGGCCTTGAACTTTCAGATCTGATAACATGAAAAATAAGTTTATACTAACATGTTGGAATAAACTTTTTTAAATTTGTTACTCGAGTAGTCAGTGTTATATCCCGTGGAGATTTATGAGTGGTAACTTTGAGGATCATTTATGGACCAATACTATGGGTATATTTTTACTAACTAAACTATTCATATCTATATCCCTCTTATTATAAGCTTTGTTTTGACCTATAAACTATTATTATACGATTTACAATTCTTGAGTTATCCCTAGTCCATTAATTACCGTTCCCCTATTCACAGCCACATTCGGCCAAATCTTGTACAAATGTTATTTTTTATTTTATGGTACGATGTGGTCTGTTTGATTGGCATATAAACCCAATATGTTTGAGAATAATGATTTATATTGCAGAGACTGTTATTGATGTTCCGGTCTTAACTGACTGGGCTAGTCAGAAATCAGGACTGATAAGTACTCAAGACTGCTCATACAGCTTTTGTGTATCATTGTGCGATCGATAAATTCGCTGCTCTCTAATTGGCGGTCTTAAAACGTTCATATATATCAAACAGAGCACGCATGCACTCACACGTTATAACAGTTAGCTCGAAATTGAACTTTATATAGCCATATATTGAAAAATCATGATACTTTGGATTAATTAAATTTGAAAATAGTAAAAACGAACAAGGATTGAAAAATGGGTGAATGTGTTAAAGTGAGTCAGTGATTGTCGATTCAGCTACTGAAGGTAAAAAAACACATTACTAACATTATACACATCTAGGAGTTCAAATAACATAGAATTTATATAAAGATTTATTTATTTCTTTAAACACATAAATATTGGTAAAAAAGAGGCACCAGATATATATGCGCCAAACAAACCTCATTTGAGTAGTGGGAGGACTGTAATACTGCCCAGGTGCCCAAACTGAAGTAGGTGGTTTTCTTAGGGGGCCACACCCGGAGCCTTTGACCTAAAGGTCTGATCCACTAGGCAGTGGAGCATCGTGAGGAGATGAAGTCTCATGGTAGCCGGTGACCAACGATTGATTCATATGCCATTTGTTCCTTCAGGATGCTGGAGCCTATGTGCACCATTGGTTTGGAATCAGGGTTTTTCAACTCCCCTAGGTGGACACGCCGTGTCCACCAGTCCGGTTAAAGCACCAGATATTCGCTTTTCGTCCTCTCAATTTCGTAAACAACACTCCCGCCAGGAAAAGGCAGTGAGTAGGACTTCCCTTGAAATGGTTGTATACACGTGGCTATGTGAGAGCGTTTCAGGAGGGAGGGTGGCCCCTCCCCACTCTCGGCCGTACCAGGGCATTTGGGGGTAATGATCCACAAATATTCATATTGATCTTTGTGAAACTATGGGTATCATACAAATGATATGTTGTTTCTAAGCCGATTTATTAATGTGAACAAAATAGAATTATATTATTTTAAGAATTTTATTTTATTTTACTTTCATTTTACTCACATCAAGTTAAACTGTTTGTCAAAAAATTCTTTAAAGTCAGGTATGTGAAATGTGGACGACATTTGAGCGACTCTAAAGTGACCTTGAGGGTGTCCATCTAATATCCAGGACCAAATGAAGGTTATAAACCAATATGAGAAAATAGAATTATATTTTGTAGTTGATAGTTAGGGTTAGGAATTACATTTTAGGTTTTCATCACGAAATGACATCAGCTAAAAGCCACATGGATGAGTAACTTTCACACCAAAATCCGAAACCTATTTTCTTATACCTGATTGGTTGTCCATAAATTACAGTCTCACCTGAAATGTTACCTATTATTAATGTAAATCTGAATTCTTTATGATTTGGAGTAAAATTTATTAAAAGTTAGTTTTCTTATTAAAGAAGAAAAATATTTATACTTTTGATTAATATGCATATTAACAATAAGGTAGCTTATTAATGATAGTCTACATAATTGAGTGTAAGAACCTAACTCTTATTCGAATATGAACAGAAGTTATTTTACATTTATATTTGTATAACATTCTAAAACTTAATTTGAATAAATAAATTCATGAGTCGATCTAAGCTAGACCACCATGGAAAACCTGGGAACACTGGGACGGCCATTTTGTCCTGGTATGGGACGACTCAGCCTTGCTCACCCACGATCCTGCACTTATGACTCGAACCTAGGACCTTTTATCTCACGCGCGAACGCGTAAATTCTAGACCACTGAGGAGTCCTATTCTTGAACGAGTCTCTTGACTCAATGCTTCAAGGTTTTCATTGGTTGTTTAGCTTAGATCAAACCATGAATCCAAGTGTTCAACTTACTAAAATCTCTACAAATCCCCATTCTGAAAGATTGATTATTTCTAATTTCGATTGTCTTTATCATTGATTACTATTAATAAATCAAGATACCTAGTACAAATATATTGTTTACACCTTCTGATCTCGAGTTATTAAATATACTGTTTGTCCATCTGGTCTTAAATGCGGGAAACACATTTTTACGATTTAGTTTTAAAAGATTCACATAACTGTTCTTTTTTTTTAAGAATAACATCAAAAAACTGACAGACTGATAGTTTTTATAGGGAGTTATTTCTTCTTAGCCTTAAAAAACTTACAGTTGTCAGAAAGAAATATATAGCGAAGACTTTGTTAAGTTTTATGTAAGCTTGTCTATCTAGAATAGATAATGAGTTAAGCACTAAGCAACTGTCGTTCGTTATCTAATACGCTCTAAAGAATATCTCAAAAACTATTAAGCGCTTAGCCGTTCAAGCTTCAAAAGCAACACTTATTTTCAAGTAGACAGACTGGATTTTCTTTTTACAGGTTGTTGATCTAATTATTCAAATTAGTTTATCAAATGAAGGGCATCCAGATGCCCTGGTGCGATTGAGGGTGGGGAGATTTAGCGCTTCCTCTCGAGACGCTCTCACATGGTCTTCGTATACAACCATTTCCAGGGAAGTCCTACTCACTGCCTTCTCGTGGTGGGCGTGTTGTTCACGAAATTAAGAGGACGAAAAGCAAATATCAAGCAATTTAACAGGGTTGGTGGACACAAGAGTCCACCTACAGGAATTGGGAAACTCTGATTCCAAACCAATGGTTCACGTAGGCTCCAGAACCCTGAGGGCACAAATGGCGTATGAACCAATTGTTAGTCACTAGCTATCATGGGACTGCATCTCCTTACGTTGTTCAACTGCTTTGTGAATTAAACCTTCAGGTTAAAGACTCGAGGAGTGGCTTCCTAAGAAACCTACCTGCTTTGGTTTATATATATATATATATATATATATATATATATATATATATGGTACCTCCTTGTATCAATATCTATGTGTCTAACTAAAAAATAAATCAAATGGTATTTTACAGCATCAGTTAACTAGTTTGAAATACATGCTATTTGCATACTATATTCTTCCATATAATTTATCAAATCACTTGATGTTTTTCTCACTTCTAAATAAATAACATTTGTTTAACTCGTTGACGTTATATTTTGACCATCCACCTATCATATCATTTCTCAGTTATATACCTACATAAGTCAATACTAATTTAACATTGAACTAATGTTAGCTTCTCCGCCCACATATTTATATTGTATAAACTAATATGACCAAATTCCAATACAACTTGATACAACCCACTCACTGTCTGCTCCGGATTGTTTGGTCTTACTAATAATTTGCACTTTGTTGTCACAATTTTTTAAATAATGTGACTTCAATTTTTGTTGGTTGTCAAGCAGCTTCATTCTTATTCCTGTTCTTTCTTACTACTTAATATAGACAAGTAGTTTAGTTCAATCAATTTAATGTTATATTTTTTTACTATGACATCCTGTATCACATCTGTCTAAATCTGCATTTCGAAGTTTCTGTTTATTTTAATAATTGTAATAACAATAATTCCTCGCTTTACCCCGCATTCTTGCGTGCCCTACTCTTTGAAACTTGTCTCATGTTGAATTTTTGGTGATGTTAAGTACTGATATTCTCTCTTGTTTAATAATGCTCGGTGCTATGTTATTTTGACCAGTTATTTATGGAATGTACATCTTAATAAGATCAACAGAATATGATTCAGAATTTATGAATCATCATTGAATGTCTTATTTTCTATAACATTACAGTAGTCTTATGCCCTGGTACGGCCGAGAATGGGGAGAGGCCACCCTCCCTCTCGTAATGCAATCACACGGCCACGCGTATACAGCCTCTGCCAGGGAAGTCCTACTCACTGTCTTTTCACATCAAGAGTGTTGTTTACAAAATTGAAAGATGAAAAGCGAATATCCGGCACATTAACCAGGTTGGTGGAGACGGAGAGTCCACCTAGGGGAGTTGGAAAACCCTGATTCCAAACCAATGGTGCACATGGGCTCCAGCATCCTGATCGAACAAATGGCATATGAATCAATCGTTGGTCACCGGCTACTATGGGACTGCATCTCCTCACGATGCTCCACTGCCTAGTGGATCAGACCTTTAGGTCAAAGGCTCCGGGTGTGGCCCCCTAAGAAAACCACCTGCTTCAGTTTGAGCACTTAGGCAGTATCACAGCCCTCACACAAATCCAATGAGGTTTGTTTGGCGCATATATAACTGGTGCAACTTTGTACTAATATTTATGTGTTTAAACAAAATCATAATTTCAAGGATTTTAATAGTTATCAAGTCTTTGCGGTAAAGTCTGTCTACTGATTTCATAGTGAATAGACGTCCAAATATTTTGTAAACCAATTAACAAGACTGTCATGAAACTGCATCTCCTTACGTTGTTCCACTGCCTTGTGAACTGAACCTTCAGGTCAAAGACTCGAGGAGTGAGTTCTTAAAAAACTGCTTACCATGCTTGTGAATTTAGGCTATATGCACATATGCCAATTAGAGACTGATCAGTTGCAGTCCTATAAACATCAATGGGAAGATTCAAACAAGCGATACTAAGTAAATTTTAGGACTGTCATTTGTTCATCTATCCACAGTGATATATATATATATATATATATATATATATATATATATATTAAATGAACAGAACGAAAAAATGGTAAAATGTATATATTTTTACTTGAACAACTTAATTTGTTTATCAATTTACAAGTTATTTCTTTATTACAATTAACGACATTTAAAGAAAAAACAATATTTGTCACAACATTCACGACTTCGTAAACAAAATCTACCTTTATCCAAACATCGTACACATGTGCCGGAGAAGGGCGCTTTCAAATCACATACTGTTGTATCACAACATCTTTGACTAAATGGTAATTTACGACAAAATGTCCCAAGATTTTTACATGGTAAATTATTCTCTCTCCAAAATTCACTTGATGTACATATAACTGGAAAGAAAAAAAAACACTTTCATACATTGAAACACTTATTATCATAAAAAAGTAGATTTCTATGAAAAAGCTATAGCTGATGGTGATTGTGCTGCTGGATACTCATTACCATCTTGGACTGATATCAGTTTGAGAATCCTAAATAGAAAGTGAATACTAGACAATGAACTTTAAATTGAAGTACCAGTGACTGGTTTTCTAAAAGAGCTCTGCAAGTTTTAATAAGTAATATCGTTTGATGAAATTCAATTTGGTCGAGATATTAACAGATATTAGTAACAGTATTGAAGGTGGCTGAGTATTATAATAAACTGAGTAAATTTAGAAATCGCTTATTCCCGAATCAGTTTCTTTCAATGCTAGTTGCAAAAACTATCAAATAGTAAAACACCTATGTAAAGGCTATGGAGGTTAAGATCCTGTTTTCGAGTAAAAATATATAAACAGGTTAATAAAATTAAAAGCCCTATTCTACTGCATTTATTCAACATGGTATAGACTGATGTTAAGTTAGATTTTGAAGATTTTTCTGAATTCCATTCAATCAACTTCAGATTGTAAATAGTTTTATATTGGCGTTCAGTCACGTGAATTCAAGTAAAGAAATCTGTCTGATACATCCATGTGAGGTTTATGCGTCTTCTTTCTTTACTCAGACTTCTTTAAGGCTTCATTAGAACAGATAAATACGTGAAATAATTCAGTGTATATTATTACCATGGTTTGACTTGGTAATTTCAAGCCGCTTCCTTAGAAACTAAATAAATATATGTTCGGTTATTTATTTATTTCTCTACCCTCTGATAAAGCAGCTTAAACTAAGTTGCACAACTTTAGGAATTCTCATTTATATTCATTAGGCCCACACAAATATTTCATTAATCTATTATGTGAGATTATTCAGTTTAATTGTAGACAGAAGGTTGAGGTTTTGTTGATAAGCAATGAATTTTGAATGAATTGACTAAGTTAAAAGTCAATAGTTAGCAGAGAGTATCAGAAAACTATATTATTATGTTTGCACTTAATCCTACTTAGCTCTAACATTTTCAATCTTCATCAACTTCTTAGGTATTGACTTTTCCGTCTCCTTTGTTTTTTTTCATAGTTGAAATCATGAGTCAATTGAAGCTAGACTACCATGGAAAACCTGGAGTTCAATCAAGTCTCTTGTAGAGGTATCAACTCACTGAAGACAATTGATGAACGTTCTCTCAAACATCGTGGATTATTCGAAGTTAGAGATTAACACCATTGGATGCTGGCCAGATCAGTGGTATATCGGTTAAGTGCTCGCGCGCGAGACTGGTAGGTCCTGGGTTCGGATCTCGCGAGTGTGGGATCGTGGATACGCACTGCTGAGGAGTCCCATAATAGGACGAAACGGCCGTCCAGTGTTTTCAGGTTTTTCATCGTGGTCTAGCTTCAATTGACTCATGATTTCAACTATGAAGAAATACTGAAATTTCCACAAAACCCCTTCTGAACCTTTGTTTTTGACTATATTTTTTAGTTAGATTTAAAGATTCAGTTTGCTTTGAATTAATAATAATTCGACTATGAAGCAATCTCAACATTGATGTATCGGTACGAAGATTGAAGGATTGGCAACTCCTAGAACTATCTTATGGATTATTTTTCATAGTAGAAAGCATGAGTCAATTGAAGCTAGACCACCATGGAAAACCTGGAAACACTGGACGGCCGTTTCGTTCTATTATGGGACTCCTCAGCAGTGCAGAACGAAACGCCCGTCCAGTGTTTTCAGGTTTTCCATGGTGGTCTAGCTTCAATTGACTCACGCTTTCTACTATGAAAAATACTAAATCTCCACAAAACCTCTTCTGATAATTATGTATTATTGTTTTATATTTTCTTATGGTATAATCATTAAGCAAGTAGAATACTATGTATATATGCTTCATTTATCATAAGCTATCTTTAAACACATTACCTACCGTCATAGAACTTATTATCCCTAATGTGTTGCCAGTCCATTAAATACAGGTTGCACTATTCCCAGCCACTGCAAGAACTTTTATATGTAATTGCTATTTTTCATTTTTTTGGTTCGATGCAGTTCAGTATGTTTGCGCATTAACCTAGATTTTTGAAATATAATATAAGGGATGCTTGCTCCTGACCATTTGGACTTAAGGTAGGGCATAGAGAAAAGATTGAGGATAGAGAATCACTCAGAACTTATCCACATCGGATCTAGCTCAACAGTGCTGGTCAGGTGTATAATTGGCACTTTGTTATAGCAAAAATAGCAGATGGGGAATACACAACATTAGAATTAGGATTCTGTTTGGTGACTTAAGAATGTGATTTTGGTCAGTGATCCTAAGATATATATCATCATATTGACTCAGATCTGTCATAAAAAGACAGCTACAAATATATTTTCTGAGCAGCTCCTGAAGTAAACTAAAATTTTATATTTTTCCTGTACGTTTCAATTTCGTGGATTGGTTGAAGTTAAACATTAACACCATCGGATGCCGGCTTAGTGGTCTAGTGGTTAAGCGCTCTGGCGCAAAACTGGTAGGTCCTGGGTTCGAATCTCACGAGGCGGAATCGTGGATGCGCACCGCTGAGGAGTCCCAAATTAGGACGAAACGGCCGTCCAGTGCTTCAAGGTTTTCCATGATGGTCTAGTTTCAATTGACTCATGATCTCAACTATGAAAGATACACATATGTCACATGACCAGAGTAATAAACTGTCAATGATAGGATATCACTTTAATTGTGAAACAGTATAATGTAAATTAAGTTTACAGTTTAAAATTGAATTAAATTATTCAATCTTGTGAAAATTAGAAGATTTACACAAATTTATGAATAAATTTTGTTAATTATCTTTTTTAAAAAATGAATAGGGTAACATAATACTTTCAAATAGCCCTACAAGATCACTAAATCGGCTTTATGGTTGAATATTAAATTAACCAAATAGAAATTGTGAACTTAATTTACATTAAATTATTATTTAAATTAAATAGTTTGTTTTTCACTGTGATACGTTAAATAGATTACTAAATTATGTAACCATGAGCCATTAACTATCTTTGCTTAGAATGCTTGTGAGTTAAGGCTATATCGAGGCAGTACATACAGTATGCACGTATGCTGATAAAAGACTGATCAAATTCAGTCTTAAACAGCAATGGGATGATATAAACAAACAATATCAAACAAACAAACAATATGTTAGACACGTTTAATATTGATAAATTCATGTATTATAAGAATGCGTAATCACACTTTAGTTCACCTAAAGAACTGAATAAAAACATGATAATATTATCAGAAGGGTTTTTTGTGGAGATTGTAATAATTCAATAGTTGAGTTCATGAGTCAATTGAAGCTAAACCACCATGAAAAACCTGAAAGCACTGAACGGCCTTTTCATTATATCATGGAACTCTTCAGTAGTGCACAGCCACAATCTTACTCGCGGGATTCGAACCCAGAACCTTCGGTCTAGAGGTAAAGTGTTCACGCACGAGGCCAAAGGTGATGGATTCGAATCCCGCGAGTGAAATCGTGGATGCAGACTGCTGAGGAATCCCATACTAAGATGAAAAGACCGTCCAGTTGTTCCAGGTTTTCCATAGTGGTTTAGCTTCAATTGACTCATGAACTCAACTATTGAATTGCAATAGTAATAATATTTACTTAGTATTGTTTGTTTGAATCTTCCCATTGATGTTTTAGGACTGCAACTGATCAGTCTCTAATTGGCATATGTGCATATTGTCTCGATATAGCCTGAATTCACAAGCATGGTAAGCAAAGATGGATAGTGGTCAGCAGTGGAATCCAGGATGCTCGTTTCATCCAATTCGGGACTTGTCAGCTGGATGTATTTACATCTCAGAGTTGATGTTCATTCTGGGACTCGAGCCCAGTACCTTTCGCTTCGAACGACATCGCGTTATCCACTCGGCCACTGAGTCCTGATAGCCACTTGCTTGTGCAATGGAGTGAAGTTGAAATTTACTTAGTATTGTTTGTTTGGGAAGATCAAAACAAACAATACAATAGTAATAATAGTTTTTGTTATTGTGAGGATGGTCCACAGGTGTTAAGTCGGCTTCCAGAGAACTCTAACAGAGCCTCCAGAGGCTCATAAAGAGCCCCAACCAATCAGAGATTAATTAGAAGTTGTGTGAAGTTATGTTACTAAAATAACGAGATCCTGATTGGCTGATTAACACACTGCTACTATGTAAACTCAAGGTCTCTTAATTACTATAAAATCCTTGTATTTTCTGTACATAAACGAACCTTGTAGTAAAGTGTTTTCTCTCATACTCGAGTCTTCTCCCTGGTTTTCAAGTCGCTGAGTAGTTCTAGCCTGGAGTTATCAGAATAGCTTAGGATCTAAATATAGCGTTCAACCTACAGACGTATCAGATATAAGTAGTATTAACCTATCACAATGGGATAATACCGAAATAATTTAGTGATCCACATATTATTTATTGAAAATAAACGAATTCTTTTATGAACTTAACGTTTTTACATTATCTTAAATAAATGAAATAACAGAAATAAATTCTTTACTCAGCCTATACTTTCAGTTTATTGCGAAATAATATTTAGTAGTTTAGATCATGAGTCAATCGAAGCAATCGAAGGCATACATCGTAAAGTCTTTAAACTTATCTTTACATTAAACTAATCTGATTACTTTACATAGTGTAAATTGTGATTACTCAATCCGCATTATGATAATAACTAAAATCAATAAACAATTTTACAGGACTTTGTGCTGTAGTTAAGCTAGAATGATAGTTTTACCATTACTAGTTTATTTCCTTACGCCTGTTACTCCCAATGGAGCATAGGCCGTCGATCAGCATTCTCCAACCCACTCTGTCCTGGGCCTTCCTTTCTAGTTCTATCTAATTTTTGTTCATTTTTCTCATATCTGTTTCCATTTCTCGGCGTAATTTTTTTTTGGTCTTCCTCTTTTCCTTTGGCCTTCAGGATTCTATGTGAGGTTTTGTCTTGTGACACAGTTGGGTGACTTCCTCAATGTGCGTCCTATCCACTGCCAGCGCTTCTTCATGATTTCCTCCTCCACTGGAATCTGGTTTGTTGTCTCCCACAGTAACTTGTTGCTGATAGTGTCTGGCCAACTGATCCGAAGTATCTTGTGTAGACAACTGTTAATAAACACCTGCATCTTCTGGATGATGACTTTCATAGTTCTCCGAGTTTCCGCCTCATATAGTAGAACTGTCTTGACATTTGTATTGAAAATTCTGATCTTGGCATTGGTTGACAATTGTTTTTTGTTCCAGATGTTCTTCAGTTGTAAATATGCTGTTCTTGCTTTGCTGATCCTCGCCCTCACATCTGCATTAGATCCACCGTGTTCATCAATGATGCTGCCCAGATATGTGAAAGTTTTCACATCCTCCAAAGCTTCTCCGTCAAGTGTAATTCGATTGGTGCATGCTGTATTGTATCGGAGAGTCTTGCATTTTCCTTTGTTTATATTGAGACCTACTGCTGCTGAGGCTGCTGCTACACTAGTCGTCTTCTCCTGCATTTGTTGGTGCGTGTGTGATAGAAGAGACAGATCATCTGTAAAGTCTTAATCGTCTAGCTGCATCCTAGCTGTCCACTGTATCCTCCAGATGTTGACGTCTTCATGATCCAGTCGATTACCAGGAGAAAGAGAAAGGGTGAGAGTAAGCAACCTTGCCTAACACCGGTCTTTACCTCGAATGAATCGGTGAGTTGTCCTCCATGGACGATTTTGCATTTAAGAATACCACTAATTACTTAATTACAATCATATTAACTAACGGTGGGAAAACTTTTTATACATTAAAAAAAGTGTAATAGGATTATATCCATTCTAATGAACTGATAGCTAATGTTATTTGGATGAACTAATTAAAATTTACCATTATTTAACATTGTTATTTAGATCGGTGTATATTTCTATTAGACAACATATCCTAAAGCTATAAACAATTTAATTTAAAGCATATGACTTCATTTGATTATATAAATAACATAATATAAACGACGTATTTCTAATTTTATATAGTTGAAACCATGTGTTAATCGGAGCTAAACCACCATGGAAAACCTGGAAGCATTTCTGAGGAGTCCCACGATAGGACGAAAAGGCCTTCCCGGGCTTCCAGGTTTTCCATGGTGGTCTAGTTTTGTAATTGACTCACGATTTCAACTATATAAAATTACTAAAATTTTCATAAAACCCACTCCTGATATTTCTCACTTACAAAAGATCTCAACAGATCACCGTTTTTATCTTTAGCACGTTTCATACATTATACAGTAGGTTCTTATGTAATTAAAATCATTATCAATAAACTTTATCTAGGAAACAAAATATTGACATTTCATGAATCTGTTATGTGAAAATAAATGATGAAAAATATAGCATAATCAATTAATCACCTTGCAAGTTTATAACATTCTTCAAAATTTGTAACATCAGTATAGTGATACAATGAATTTCTATTAACCATTTACTAATTACAAGTGAACTATTATCCTCTGATAATACTGCTTTCCTCAACTTTGTGTTAAACTAATAATGATAATTACTATTATATATATGTATATATACTCAGAAGGGATTTTGTGGAAATTTCAATATTTTCATAGTTGAAATCATGATTCAATTGAAGCTAGACCACCATGGCAAACCTGAAAGCACTGGATGGCCGTTTCGTCCTATTTTGGAACTCCTCAGCAGTGTGCATCCACGATCCCGCCTCTCAAGATTCGAACCCAGGACCTACCAGTCTCGCGCCAGAGCGCTTAACCATATGGTTACTAGTGACTGACTTCAAGAGATATTTCCTAGAGTTCTAGTGAGAAACAGTGACCAGTGGAGTTCAACCACGTCTGTTGTGCGATATCAACTCACTGAAGACGATTGGTGAACGGTTGCTTAACTTCGTGTATTGGTTAAAGTTAGACATTAACACCGTTGGATCCTGACTCAGTGGTCTAGTGGTTAGGCGCTCTGGCGCGAGACTGGTAGGTCCTGGGTTCGAATCTCGCGAGGTGGGATCGTGGATGCGCACTGCTTAGGAGTCCCATAATAGGACGAAACGGTCGTCCAGAGCTTCCAGGTTTTTCATCGTGGTCTAGCTTCAAATGAATCATGATTTCAACTATGAAAGAAAATATATGTATATATAGTCATAGTGAAAATAAAAATCCTATTTCTGACATTTCCTAACATAATGTAAGCCATTTTTCCTTAGTAAATAACTAATCGAATGGAATTGACGCGAGTTTAAATAGTACAAAGAAAACAACAATATTAAGTCACAAAACGTCAGAAATACAATTTTCTATTTATTGTGATTTCACAGAATATATATATATATATATATATATATATATATATATATATATTATATCCTAGAGAAGATTAAGTTATAGGTAACTTCTGAGAGCTATTAATGAACTAATATCATACATATGTTCTAATTCTATAACTATTGAGTAACTAGATCATGTATATTTATATTTCTTTCATTATAAGCTTTATTTTGATCTATAGACTATTATTATACGATTTACTGTTCTTAAGTTATGCTTAGTTGATTAATTACCATCTCTCACGATTACAACCAATTTTTGGCTATGGTGTGATGTTGTCTCTCTGGCTTATATAGAAACCAGGTATGGTTGATATAAATTATTGTATGATGGAAGCTGGTATTTGTGTCCTGGACCCAACTGGCAGGGTTAAAAGGAATAAGGACCAATAAGGGCGCTAGGCTGCTCATACCGGTTTAACGTCGTTGGTTTGGTACAATGCTAAGATTGTATAAGTCGTGTTCCGATTGGCGAATAAGTCATGTGATAATTACTCGGGCTTAAAGTCACAATAATATTATATACACATCACAATAATGCATTATCACTGATTCCAAGTCGAAGGAAGTTGAAAAAGATTGTCAAATCTTCATTATTGAGTATAAGTTGGAGAGTGATACTAAATATCGGAGCCATTAATTTCTTCGTTAGAGATTTGGGAAGAAATGCATTCGCTGATTAATTGTAGAAGATAACATGGTTCACTTTGGAATATTTTGAAAGCAATCATTCATATTTCAGTGACTATATTAGATTTTAAGTAACCGTCAATCTACGGTACTTTAGTTTACGAACAATTATTGAAGTGTTTTGGTTGTAAACTGATCACGTTTATTTAAAAAAGTGAGATTCAAATCCAGTAGCTGAAAAATTTCTACCTAAAATTACTGAACACACAGTTTCTAATGAGGTAAAATTAAGTCCGATATATCATCAACTTTGATATATATTACTGATCAGAGTGTAAGCTCATTACTTATTACTTAATATATATGATCGAACTCCAGTTATCACTCCAGTTAACATCTCAGAGGTGGATTTACATACTACACCTTCGAAAGACTCCTTTTCTCATTTCGTTATTATCGTATATTTCTTTAAGTTTATAATAATATTAGTAGGACCACTTACCATTTTAGTCATTTTTTGTATCAAGCTAGTCTGACGTACGAACTAACGATTCCTTTGTACGTGATTGCCCACTGATTACGAATTACATATATAATACGTCCATTTGAGCTTATCTAGTTCTAACTGCCTTAAATTGCACTATTTCGGGAATTCTTAGTTAGTAAATCAATTCATATACTCCCAATTATTATATCTCAGTAACTTACACATTATTTTCTTGACTATTTAAACTTCCAAGCATCCTTTATAATGACATTTTACGTAGAGTTATAATACCTACTGAAATCTGTTAACATCCGATATCCAAATGCAGAAATACAGATATCAGCACTTCTGAAGGAAATGGAAAACTTCAGACTAAATCAACCTCTTAGTATACTCATCAACTGTGAGATCTGATATTGTTGAATCTGTAATTACAGATCAAATATTTGAAGAAATGTTCTGATTACATAATTTGTAAACATTTTGCATATTCACTGACTGTATAATGAATAACTGTTAAATTTAAGGTGAACTATTTTACTATACATTTAAGGCAATTTTTTAGCTAGATGGCAATAGGTTTTCGTTAAAATAAGTATGTCATTAATCACAGTTAAAGTTAGTGTCCCGAACATTCAAAAACGAACCATATAGTAACAGTATTAATAATGGATAGGAGTTTACAAACGATTATACTTACATACTACGATAATGATGAAAATATTAATCCAAATTAACTTAATTCTTCGCATAACTGTCATAATGATGTATTCTGTTTCAAATCCACACCACTACTATATATATATATATATATATATATATATATATATATATTGTTTAGTTTACACGTAAACTAATTTATGCACATGATTGTGATTTATAAGCTTGATTTCGGTCACTGAAAATCACATACTGCCTTCGTATTATACACAGACACACACACGCTATATATATAGTCTAATTTCAAGTAGGATTATCTTCTCTCCGCCATATGGCTGAGATAAAAAATAAACGTTCAACTGGACGCTCCAGATTTTCCTTTTGACTAAGATGACAGACTAAATAATGGCTATATTTTACTATTTCAAATAACAAAGAGATGCAAACAGTCTCTTCAAACAGAGCAATTAAGAATTTACTCGCATTAATTAAGGTAAAATGTTGACTGAACCGTATTATAGTTATTTACCACATATGTGAGTGACCAGAAAGTCAGTAAACACAGAAGGTCAAATCGTAAGCTCAAATATATGGGAAGTCAATGTAATAAGAGTACCGCTACTGAAATTAAAAAAATAAAATGTTTACATACCGATGACTTGTAGGTTGCGAAAGAGAAGAATTCAACTGTCTGATGCTAGCTGATCATTAAATATAACATTCACCGGGTAATACCTAATTTTGGAACAAACTAGATAAGCAGTATTGTTTAGTCTGCGATGCAGAATCATTGAATAATATACTCAACACACTACTACAAATCTGAGCAACTACGCTCTTCAAGTTAACCACAGAGAGGCGATGAGATTAGTAAATTGGCAACAAAGGTACACTCATTACAAATATTCAAGTAGATATTCACTAATTTAGGTATGGATGACATTTCAGCAACTCACAATAAATATATCTTTGGGAATTAGATACAAATATTCTCAGGCAAATAACTATCCAGATAACTTAAAGCCCACTATGTTTGATTAGATTAACCTACTAGAAATACACATCGTAATGTAGTTTCTGACCATTTTCACCTCCTATAAAACAATATTTTTCATTAAGTCATACCATTTAACCAATTACTTTGTAAGTGCTAAAAATTAATCACAATTCAAAAGAATATTGTACGGTGAATAATTAATATAGTCTAAATTGGCATATGTTCATACTGTGCATATTGCCTCGATATGGCCTAAATTCACAAGCATGGTAAGCAAAGATGGATAGTGGCTAGCAGTGGAATCCTGTCTGACGCGCGTTTCGTCCTATTTGGGACTACCCGGCTGGATAACGCGATGGCGTTTGAAGCGAAAGGTACTGGGTTCAAGTCTCAGAGTGAGCATCGACTCTGAGATGTAGGTACATCCAGCTGACGAGCCTTAAATAGGATGAAACGTGCGTCCTGGATTCTACTGCTAGCCGCTATCGATCTTTGATTACCAATTAATATGGTTACCGTAAAATTGGATATTTTATGTCATGTTTTGATTAGTTATCATAATACAGTGCAATTTCATTCTTCCTAATTCCAGTCCAGCTTCATTATTACGTCTTGTTGAAATTATGACCTATTTGTGATTAATCGTAATTTATCAGACTGTTCAAATTCACAATAAAATGTGTCGCGAAATTTTACTATTTGATTTAAATCAAGCAGTTAATTAATGTATGTACACATTTATTTTTATACAATTTATTATGGTCTATTGATTTATTGGTACCAGTACAATTAACTAGTTTCCGTTCCAAATATATCATACATATAAGCCAATTTATTGATACCTATAAATATTTCTCTTAATTAGTCAACAATATAAAAACGTCATTATTGTCATGTTCAGACATTGGTTGTGTGATTTCTGTTAATTGACAGCAGATTTTATTAGGTCAGATGCCAACCTAAAGACTTTCAGAAAGGAATATCAGTGAATAATAGAATTATTATAATTTCGAAAGTGTTGTTACAGCAAGGAACATTTTCATTTGTCCCGTCTATTCATGTGAGAATCTGAATATGTCTGTTTCACAATTTTTTAAACTATCTGTCTTTTGAATTACTCATCGTCGCTTCAAATGAGAATGGTTCTCACAGAGATGTTAATAATTAGCCGTGAAAATAAGCCTAGAAACAACTCACTGCGTAACTTAACAGTAGGTGCTACTAATTATCACATATATTTAATCCAGTTAATGTCTGTATACGCATAAATGAATACTTAAAGGCAGTTGGTAGGTCAATGGGTTTTACTTTTCATCGCTCTCAGTTGACATCAGATTTGTACTTTGTGACAGTCATTAACTGTTTATTGTGTTTCGCCAATAGATATGAAGTGTCTTACGTAGAAAGCTGTCTACAATACCTGTGTAAAACACAACAGGCAGGAGAAATATTTACTTATTGCGAGAAGTTACAAAGTACTTACAATAGTACATATACATAGTCTTCAGTCGTTGATTTGCATCATTCAGTACGTTCTAAAGTCTGAACTGTCTTCCCAACTGATCTTAAAGTGTCCTGCCAACACCGTGCTTTTGATGCACTGAAATCCATTACTTTGTCAGACAACTGTTACAACGTCGTCAGCAACTTCCGTTACACATTACTTGCAAACGATCTTGTGAGTAGCGTCCACCTCACCTGTACTTTTTGATTATAACTCTAGTAGCTCTCCAAGTTTCAGCTTCACACAACAAAACTGTTTAAACGTTCACGTTAAAGTTTCTGACATTTTTATGGGTTTGGATTTGTTTAAAGTTGCAAACATTCTTCAGTCATTTAAATGCAGCTCTTGCTTTACAAATTCGGACTTTCATGTGTATATCAGATCCATCTTGTATTTTGTGGTGCTACGCAGATAGTTGAAGCTGTTCACCTCTCCTTAAGCTTCATAATTAAGTGTGACTTAGTCGGCGCTCACTGCGTTGTGCTCCTTGGTCTTCCTTTTTTCCATGTAAATCCTGAGATCTGATTCTATGGGAACAGGTGCAACCTTGATTGTGCTTCCTAGTATTTTTCCCTGTGTGTGGGATAGAATAGCTGGGTCAAGTTTAAGGTTCACGTCATCCTATCGTACTCAAGTTGTCCACCAAATTCCGTGCTTCACTTAAGATGTAGAAGTCTTCATAATCCAGTCAACGGATAGCATAAAGAGAAAAAGTGAGAGTAAACTACATTGCCTGACACTAGTCCTCGACTAAAATCCACCTGTCTACTTTCCTCTGTCCACAACTTTACATTTAATTTCCTCGTAAACGTTTTGCATGATAATCATTATCTTCCCAGATACTCCTCAATGTCGTAGAACATTCCGCAAGGTTCTCCTAACCACAATGTCAGGTGCTATCACATAATCAAGGAGCTTAATGGATAATGATGAGTCTGTCTCAGCTGATTACTCAAGCAGTGGTCAGAGCTGTCGCTATTCAGTCGGTTCATGTTTGGTTCTCATGAAAAACAGCCTGTGGATTCATAAGCTAGGTGTCTGTAGAATATTTCAACAACACTCTACTAAAAAGTTTGCCTGATGATCCAAAGCTGGATAATCTTTTTATTTTCTTCTGGAGTCTTTGGTGAACATTCTGAACCACATTTCCTTTTATTCCAAAAGTGTAGAAAGTGATAGCGGACAATAAATAAATAATGCCACTTGAGAGAATATCACTATTAAGGTCAACCAAACCAGTGTATGTACCTGGTTCTGACAGTGAAAACAAAAACATTCGAATAACATTGCTTTTGCATGCTTTATGCCAATAGAGGTGAGACAATAATTAATGGACGAACAAACCAGGTTTAGAAAAGCAAGTTCTGAAAGTTTTCGCGAAATTCATTCATTTGGCTAAATACAATGGAAATAAACCATACTCTTGTTCATAACTCCGATAGTCCATTCAGCGACCAGTCAGAATAAAGCAGGAATTATCACCCCTATCATCTTTGTAAGCAATGGAAGTCAGCTTCCCTCATTCTGTTAGTTTATCGGCTGACTTCTGAGTATCAATGTAGTAGTTAATATTTACGTGTGACAAAATTCCGTAATTTATGTGACTCTGTAAATGTCAGCCCTAGTTTTTTCGGATCAGAATTTTCTCGGTTTTTGCTACTACCAATACTAATACTACTACTCAGGTCAGTGTATTCTTTCCGCCATGTTCAAGTGTTTTTTTTTGATAACATGTTAATGGATTGGTTTTGAGTGTTTTCTTTTAGCTCTCCGTCTCTCTTGGATCTAATATTCACGCACGGTGATGATGTCAGTCTAGTACCTTTCTCCCATCTCTGGGAAGAAGTGATCATACAATCATCTTATTCAAGTTCACAGATGAGATCGCCTGTCAAACGGTTGCGCCGGCCTGTTCTAACATATGGAATTCAGACGTGAACGCGATCAACTCTGTAGCATCGACTAAAAACTAAATAATTGACTCAGAGGCGTCAGTAGAAGAGATATAGAATTAGGAAACTTAACCATTTATACCCTGGATAGCCCCAAACTAGAATAAGCATGCCAATCCCTGAATAGACCGGGATATTCGACGTTTACTAAGATAAAAGAAGTATTGAAACGTGACTATCATTCTTGGCTCAGCAAGTACTAAGCAACGCTACAGATTGGTGAGAAATAAGTGTATAATAACAATCCGGAAAGCTCAGAGGAAATATGAAATGCAGTTGACCCAATCTCTAATCAAGCAATCTAAGAGACTATTCTCGTACATAAATTACAGAACAAGGATGCAGCGTTTGATTACCAACCCAATAAAGGCAGGTAGTGGGTCTGAATTGATAGAGGACAATCAAGAAAAAGCAGAGGTTTTGGCACACACTTCTAGACGAAGAGCTAGACACAAAACAAAATCAACAAACCGTCTGCTTTCAGTGGACTTCGATGAAGAAGATATGCTTAATGCCTTCGACACATTAGAAAAGGAAAAGTCAGCAGGAATGGATGAACCGCACCTCAAATTTTGGGAGTGATTGTGCAATATACTGCAGCCCCATTAACCGTGATATTCTATGTGTCGCTTGGCCAAGGTATGCTACCTATGAACCGAAAGAATGCATTCGTA